TCACCTTAATGGCCACCATTAACTGTATTATCTTCAGTTCTCCCAGGATTCTTTGCAAGGTTTCCTGCCTTTAACCAGGAGGCTCCCACTGGAGCTCCCACTACAGGTCCTCCCTGCATTTATCTCTCAACTCTCTGCCATTCTGGGGACCAGAAAGACAAGCCGAAGCACTGCCTCTGATAAGAAGCCTGGTTGCTTCAGCTTCACCTCACCCTGCCTGTATCACCTTATTGTTACTGTAATGACAGAAGACACTAATGGAGATATAGACAGAAAATGATTACAGACATTATAGTACAAATCACTGTCTTCAGCAGATTTATTTTTCTTTACCTGGGGCAAAAGTGAGAACTGCTAGAAGAAAAACCCAAGATTTTGCTGTCTGCACACATCCTGAATGAAAACAGAGCAACAGTTAGTTATTGGTTAGTTAAACTTATTAGTTCATTTAGCTTATTGTTGTATCTCAAATTCAAATCTGTTATTACAGGTCAACAACCTAGATAAATAAAACTTACTAAATAAAAACTAGTGAGCCAGTTTGGTATAGCGGTTAAGGCATGAGGCTACAAACCGGGAGACTGAGAGTTCTAGTTCTGCCTTAGGCACAAAGCCAGCTCAGTATCTCAGGCCAATCACTCTCTCAGCCCTAGGAAGGAGGCAAGGACAAACCACTTCTGAAATCTTGCCAAGAAAACTGCAGGGACTTGTCCAGGCCGTTGCCAGGAGTAAAAAATACCTGACTCAATGGGACAATCAATCAATCAATCCTACAGAATAGAGCTAAAAATAGAACATATAAAATAAAATAAGGCACACAAGATAAAGTATATACAATTATACCTGCACTATTTTGCTATCAGCAATATATGAGTTTTACAAACTGCAAAAACAAACTTTGCAATACCAAGAGTTACCTTGGGGTCCTTATCTGCTAGTAAAAATTTCAACATAAAGTTCTTCAGTCCATCCCAGAAATGAAATTAGAAGAGGCATTAGGAGCTCTTTGTGTATGTCCTGATAGAAATTACAATATAAGAGAATATAAGTTTGTGTTTTTCCCTCCAGCTCTGCTGATGGCATAATATTGAACTGTCATAATGTAAATGCTCACCAAAATATATTGTTTATGACTTGCTCTAGATACAATGCTGCTTTGAAATGTGCATTGCTGTGGCCCAGTTATACTCTAGGTGAGGGTTTACTATATTCTGATTGTAATTCTGTATCAAGGATTCTTTGCCTATGCACCACCATTGCCTGATCTTGTCCCATGGGCATGAGTATCTTCCTTGAAAAACCCAATTTTATTTTTTTATGCGTACACACACACACACACACACACACACATATATATATATATAAATTTTGAGTTTTCAAGAGGAATCATATTTATTAATTAATGTTTGCTGTGTCAGACCTTGAGGATGGAAATGAACCTTTAGCCAGTACTGAAACACACATCGCCATGCCCTTGTTTCAACTTTTGTAAGTCCCACCTCCAGCCACAGGGCAGCATTAGACATGCATTTTGCCACTTCGAATAGTTTTCTTAGGAATTGTGACTGTACACCTTCCAAGTTCTGTTAATTAATTCCTGGGTTTAAGTGGCTCTGTATAACACCTGAGATAATATCTTGGCTTCAAAAAGCTTGAGGATAGCTGGTATGTATTGGGCACCTCTTGAGAAGAAGAAAGAAAGAATTGCTGCTGAAGTCCTCTGGGCATTTGAAGCAACTTGAGCAGAGTGCATGTGATGCTTCCTAAAGTGGTGTAGCACAAAGCCCAAGTATTTGAAACTAGGGACCTCTTCATTTTATGTCCTTCAAGAGTCCAATACAATTTTTTAAAACCTCTTGCAAAACACAGGACCTTTATTTTTTCATAATTGATCTCTAATTAATGTTCTTTACAAAAATGGGCCAAGGCCTCCAGTGGCCCTTCTGAGGCCTATTAGCATTTGTGATAATAAAATTGCATCGTCTGCATAAAGTAGTATAGATATAGGTCTGCTGTCCATTTTTTTTGCAGGGGGAATGAAAGTCTCCATTATTAAGGGTAGTAGCCATTGTGTTGATATAATGATTAAAGAGTAATGGGGCCAGAATATAACCTTGTTTAAACCCCTTGCTGGTTATCACCACGTCCAAGTGATGCCCAGTTTCAGTACATTTCACCTCCAGACTGGTATCTTTGTATTATACATATATTTAGGGTGTGTAACTATCTATTGATGGTAGAAGCTTTCAATTTCTTCCAGAGAATTTCCCTCGAAATAGAATCAAAAGCCTGCTTAAAATCAGCAAACAGTGTATAAAGAGCTATTTTTGCTGGCTGAGTATATTTCCCAGTCAGGTGAGAGAGAATCAGTCCCTAATCTGTCACCAAGCGGACTGCTCAGAATCCCACCTGTCCTTCAGCTAGGAGGTTCTCTTCCTCCAACCAGTCTAAAAAATTCCAGTAAATGTGTCTGGCATATATCTTACTGATTAAGCTCAGAAGGCTCACTGGGTGATAATTTGCTGGCACATCTTTCTTCCCTTTTTATTTTAGGACCTGCACTGTAGAGAAGAAAAGGATACTGAAGAGATTTGTGAAGCTACTATTTTGTTTTCATTATGAGAACAGAACTGAGATATTCTTTCCATTAAAAGCCTACGCCTGGTTATGCCAAGTTTTCTTCATTTCAGCAATCAAATTGAGGTAGAAAAGTCATGTTTTGTTGCTACCATTTAACAACTGGGCACCAGGAGTCCATTCCAATATTCAAATTCACAGAAAGGTCTATCAGCTGGAACCTGATCTATCTTCTGCTTAACAAGGTAAAAATCCCATGAGTTGAGCTTGACTGCTAGTGATGACTATGTTGAAGCATCCATATGCAGTAGTGTTCTTGGCAGCAATATGGAGGTGATGTGCCACTGCATTCTTCTAGGAAATTTAGCCTATAACCCTGGGATTTCCCAGAGGTCTCCCATCCAAATATAATGAGGTCTGATTCTGCATAGTGTCTTGAGATGAGCCAAGATTGATAGCTGCTGTGATGGACTTACAAATAATTATTAAGATCTTACTCTTTCACAAAGCCTTTGAAGATCAATAGTTGGACTAGTTTCAGTATCAACAGAGATATTATTTTTAATGTTTTGGGATTTCATTCTGGGTATTATAGTATTGTTATTCCTGTATTGTTTTGTGACTATTTTGTACATTGCTAGAACTTTTGGAGTTAGTTTTTTATACATCTTATAAATAAAATGTAATCCACACTGACTAGAAATAGAACTTCGTGGTTTTAGACACTTCTCTTCTGCTCAGAGACTGCCAGATTTAGGACTTTTTGCAAGCAAGGCATATTGGATTTCAGTGGCATGAGGAGACTGATTTTTGCTATTAGCTGAAATATGTTTTGTAGAGATGGACAGAGACTCCCTGATCTGCTTGGGACTCTAAAAGTGGACCAATCTACTCTTTCTGCACAGCAGCACTAAAAAGGTGTTACCAAGTGTGGGAGCCAGTGCAAAAGTATGCCAGCAGTGCTAAGTAATGATGACTGCACTTTGTACCCCTATCCTGATTTTGCAATGAAGCAGAAGAGGGATTCTGTCTCACTATCACACTGATTGTTGAGGGGACGAATGGTGGACTGGGCAGGTCCCCTTGAGTGCCAATTATTGCAACAGAAGTCCACAGTCCTCTGCTAGCAATTCTCCCATCCCATCTGGAGAAGTGGCATCAAAGGAGCTACAGTATTCTCCGCCACTTCTCTCTTCCCTGCTTCATCACCCACCCGTGTCATAGAAGGGCGGGATGGGGGGGAAGAGAGTCCCTCCTCCTGTCTCTCCTGCTTGTCTAGCAACGGGGGAGAGGAAAGGAAGCCGGTCTTCTCACCGTTTCCAGAAAGACTACAGCCTGTAAGCTGCTTCTCCCACCTTATCACGCTCCTACCCTCGTCTCCACATTTTTAAACTGTCCCCATCGTTCCAGTGCTGCAGTGCCTGAAGGATTCTAAACACGTATCCAGCTCTCTTTTCTGAAGACCTCTTTGCTATCAAGGTGGCTCATGTATATGTCTGTTTTTTTGGTTTTGTATGCCGCCGAGAGTCCATGGGAGTTGGGCGGCTATGAGAAATTTAAATAAATAAATAATTTTCGGAAGACTACTGGATACATGATTAAAATGCCCACTGACTTAGCCACCGCAATTCCTAAGCTGGGGGTGGGCAACTTGCTGCAGGGTGAAGCACCTCTACATGCGGCCCCTTTCAGCGAGCCCGACTTTCCACGCAAATTTGGCACCAAAAAGAACCGCTTCCTCGCCTCCTTTCGCCGCTTCTCCTGCCACTCATGGGCTGGCAGGAGAAGCAAGGAGAGAGAAGCAGGGGAGAGTGGATCCTTTGCTGCCAGTCCTCTGAGCCCATGGAGACTGGGTAACAGGAGATCTCCTTCTCCCTTTCTCCCTGCCATGCGGTGGGGAGGGGGGCAGCGCTCTTTTGGGCACAGAGAGAACGGGCAGCAGAAAGGCCCGCTGCCCCTCCTTTTCCCACGAACGTGGGTTGGCAAGAGAGCTGGCACAGACGGACTGCTGACAGCGGGAGACTCGCCGCTACCCGCCGCCCGAAGACAGACGGCTCCGAAAATCAGGGACCGGGACTCAGAAGCAGGCTGAGTAGTCCCGGGTGGCCAATAGGAGCAGGGCGGGAGCTCCTCTAAACTCCTCTCAGCACGATTTCAGACTGACCCGAACCCAATCTCCCCACTCTCTCTTCTCCTTTTCCCGGCTCCCCTTCCCAGCATTATATTATACAGGTTTCGAAAGCAGCGTTTGTTTTCCGCAGCGGCTTCCACAGTGCTTCAGTCACGGTTGTTCCCTTTTGCAACAGGCAGTTATCGCTGTAGCCTGCAGAGGAGAAGACTGAACCTAGAAATGCAGGCGATGTACGGCCACTCTAGACTTATATCTCTAAGTTCTCCCCCCGAAGAAGAGCGTCCGGCGCGGAGGCTGCCTCTTCCGGTGGGAAGATGGCGTCGGGGTGCGCGGTGCCGAGTGACTTGTTCCCGCTGGTGCTTGCTTTCCTGCGACAAAACCATTTCGATGGGGCGGCGCGGGCTTTTGGGAAAGCGGCTGGAGTGGTGAGGCAAAGGCGGCGGACACCCAGACCTGGACGTGCGCGCGTGTGCGCGGACACCCTGAAAGGGCGCCTTCCGACGTGGCTGCAGAGCGGGGAATCCCCGCCGCAGCTTCGGGAAGGCCGTGGGAGGTCTGCGCGGCGTATTCGCAGGGCGGGCCGGAGTCCACGTGGTTGTTGGCAGGGCAGATGTTCCCACGGGGAAGGGAGGAAGAAGGGAGCCTGGATGATATTGACAAGGCAGATTGCAGGCTTTCTGGAAGCTTAGCTGATACCTCAACGGAAGCATTATGGCCGCACAGCCTTACTGCACGTGGAAGTGCTGGTACTCAAGCTACAAGCTGCTTGGAGGGAAAATTCCTCAGGATCTAGAGTGTTACACCCTTCCTCGCCCCTGTGTTATTGTTGTCTCTTTGTACTGCCCTTACTTAGGTATAAGCGTGTAGCAAATAACGCTACTGCCGTTATTACTACTACCACTGTATGCAGTATTACTTGTATATCTTTGTTTCTGTACTGCTCTTATAAGAATCTTAAAAGAGGTTTTCGTAGAGAACAATATGCATTAAACTGGTAGCTCTTTACTTTTAAAAATATAATTTAAAAAGTAAACCTAGAAGAAATCTTAGTTCTTCAAATAAAATTTTTGAAAGTATTACATTGCCAGATATAATTTCTTTCTACCAGTAATAGTAATGTTACTGATAGCAAATTAACAAACTTTACTTGTTTTGCTTATGCATTTGGTGTAGTAAGCCAAGCAAATTGTAATATGATCTGTTTAACAGCTTTTATCAATGTTTAACTTGAAAAACAGTGGTGACCTTTAAATAGATGAAATGCTTTATTGTTAAATCCACTATATGTGGGGAGAATGCTTTATGTAACAGCTCTGTAGTCATGATATAGGATGTTTGCAAGAAGACAGGATTGTTATGTGTGCCTCTAAGCTGAACTTTTTCAAACACTTTCAAAATATGATTTATGTTCATATTTTTTTTCAATTATTTTCATTTTCATCATGATTCCCTTGTAGACTGAGCAAGATCCAAATGCTGCTTCTCTCCTTGATATCTTCAATTATTGGCTGAAGTAAGTGGCTTCTCTTCTTCAGGGAAAAGTTTATGTTTCTGTTTTAAACAATTTAACTGGCTAGCTTAATTTTTTAGTCAGTAATTTGCCATGAGCTGTAAGTCTTTCTGCTGTATGTGAAACCAGTAATATTAATTAAAACGTTGAGAGTCTAAATCAGGGATAAGCAACCTTCAACCTTTCTTTGCAGCCTTCAGGGTCCTGATTGTGATTGCTGAAAGCTGGCAACACAGTTTCTCACCACTAGAAGATGGGGAACATAACAAATTTGTAAAATAAGCCCTAATACTTGTTTCTAATAAGTATTAGGGCTTACTTGTGTGAAGAATTCCAAGTGTAATGTCACCCCATTAATTTTACGATTGGCAGCCTCCCCCATGTATAATCTTAAGTGGGGCCTATGGCTGCAAAAGTGTGCCATAGTTGGGGCCACATCACTGAACAACCATAAGCAGATACATGGAGTAGAAGCTAGCATGCTCAGAACAAAGAATGTGTTTTGTTCTACACATGGCATGTATTGTGGCTTGGAGTTTAGCAGCATTGTGGTTGAACCAAAACCTGGAATCATATGGTTCTTCCAGGTTTTGGCTGCAACTAAATCCAGATGACTCTTCCAGAGTGAATAATTCCATTTCCTTCTTCTCCTGAAACTGCTCTGCACCTAGCTTAGCTCCATCCACCTGATAGTTTCTCCAGTTGTCTCAGCCAATTGCCTCCAATTATCTTCCATTGCCACGCTGTGCTACCAACCAACAACTTCCCCAATCCCAATGCTTTTCTTTCTTGCTGCTACCATGCTTGAATTCAAGTGCAGCAGGCACAACCTGACTGGCCCACCTGCTTTTCTCTTGATTGTCCCAGCTCTTTTTCTTTGTGTGCTGCCACTATCTTGGTATTGCTGTTTCTGCAACACATATTCCAGGTCTATGCCAGGGCAAAAAATTGTGGGTTCTCATTCCAGACAAAACACATGTGATTTGATCCAGGCAAAGGCACAGGATGCTCTATTTACAGAATGTTTTGCACATCTTTACAGTTGAGCAGTATGCATTTGTTGTTGTAAGAGCATTACAGATGGTCCTCAGCCTATGACCATTCATTTAGCAACCATTCAAAGTTACAACGGCGCTGAATGATAGTTACGAGCAGTCCTTGGAGTTCTGGCTGTCCCAGCACCCCCGTGGTCATGTGATTGTAATCTGGATGCTTGACAGCTGGTTTGCGCTTATAACTAGTTGCAGTGCCCTGCGATCACGTGATCACCATTTGCAACCTGCCCTTCTGGCTTCCCCAGAAAGTCAGTGAGGAAGCCAGCAAAGAGGGTTGCAAGTCACTGGGGTAAGTCTTCCCCACCCACACACCCTCCCCCAGCCCCTTTGCACTCGCACCACGCTGGCCACTTGTGCACCCCTGTGCATCCTCATGCCCCCACAACGGCATAACACCCTTGCACACCTTCCCCGATCCTTGCCATGCCTTTCATGCACCCTTGCACACCCTCCCTGGCCTGCGCTGCACCTTTTGTGCATGCCTTTGCACCCTCCTTCACCCCTGCACCCACACCACACCTCCACACACCCTCCACAACCTGCCCTGCACCCCACAGTCACCCTCCCTGACTGTGCTGCCTCTCATGCACCTCTTCACACCCTTGTGCATCCTCCTCAATCTGTGTTGCCCCCTTGCATGCCATCCCTGACCCACATCTCTTGTGCACCCCCTTGTGCACCTTCCCTGATCCTTGCTTCATCTCTCCTCCATCTGCCTGCCGGCCTGGGACTTACAACTTCCTGCTGGCTTCCCAACAGACTTTAGTTGTGGGAAGCCAGTAGGAAGTTGTCTTGCCTAACGACTGTGGGATTTGGTTAACAACGGCAACTGGGACTGCAGGGACTGCCATCGCTAAGAGATGTGATCACACTTTATGACCACATCGCTTAGCAATTGAAATCCTGGTCCCAATTGCCATCATAAGTTGAGGACTACCTGTATATGACTTCATGATGAGTTTCTCTGTTAGCCATCTAATTACTAGGCTATTTTGTTCTGAACTGAGTAGTAATACCAACCATGCATGCTCTACAGCAGTATATTGCTCTTGGGTAGCCAGTGAAAAACATCATTTTTACCTATCAGCCATATATTGCAGATAGTTACTATAAAGGCACATATATTTGTAAATAAACAAGAGACATACTTCATTTGTACTGTATAAAGAAGTAAAATTAAGGTCTGTGGGGATATTTACTAGTAGTTTCATTTTTATGCTAAATTATTCTGAGGTATACACGTATGAACTCTGTTTTTCCAGAAAATATTGGTAGTGTAGGTTAATCAAATACCAGCAGTAACTGCATTATCCTTGTAGGCATTATGAATATCATTTCAAATGGGCTGCTTTGGGATTGTTTTTAAAAATTGAGATAAAAATATTATAAATAAATATAATCACAACTTCTTGACTAGTTTAATCTGCATGAATATTCAGATGAATGTTTTTATTCATTTGCTACATATTCTTCCCACCTTCTGTATTGGAGCATAAGATCGTCTTTTTTTCAGTCGCTAGATACATCCAGCTGTGTTTAAATTTGCATACTGGCTACATCACATGTCTCCTGAACACTCTAAAACTTAATATGGAATAGTGATCCTTATACTTTGTCACTCACTCATCCACTCAGATCACCTGTTGCCAAAAAACAGCAAGCATTTGCAAATGGATCTTCTGCAAAGAAGACAAACAGGGAATCATCTAGTTATGAGAGTTCCAGTGAAGATGAAACACCTGCAGTCAGAAAACAAGGTGAGCCTTGCTGGCTTATTTCTAGTGTAATGCTTCATACTTGACTTTGTATTCTTGAAGGCAGTGGTAAAGCTAAACCTTAATTTAGGAAGCGGACTGCTATACTGCCTCAGTGATAAGACTGTATGTAACATAAAGATATAATTTGTTTTTCAGAGTGGTTATATTACTGATAAAATGTCTCACAAATTATTACTCAATTTCTGTTTATTTTCCCTAGCTGTTTGTTTTCCTCTATTGCCTCTGTTGCTCACACCTTTGATCCTTCTTTTGACTCAGAGTATGGTGTCCCAGCATCACCATAGCACACACTTGTTTGCCATTATGAAGGAGTTTTCATCAGATCTTCCAATTGCCAGAATGCATCCATGAGTATTAATTTCAGAACACACACATTCAACCACAGTTTTAATTGGGAAACTGTAGACACCTTAGATCAAAATCAGATCCAGAAATGCAAGAGAATTCCTTGAGCCATGGCACTTTGACAAGCCATCATTAACAGACATATTGAGAAGTTCCATCTATAAATCATGCAAGAAAGGGAGCAACCAAAGGTCAAAGAAAGAAGCAAGCAGACTGAAATACACCCTTCTCACACTGTTAAGCAGCACCTGGATAAGCAGGACTCAGTACCAGACAAACGAGCAATCAAAGAAGATTCAGTACTGCCCAAAAAGCAATCAAGGAAGAAACTACTTCAATCAAGGCTGGTAGAATAAGAATAAGCTACCCCATAAATGCAGGAAATTCCATTTCTCACCCGCACTGATGATACTAGTGAAACTAATGAAATGCTTGCAGGAAGAGTAGTATGTCCAGAGAACACCAAGAACCCAACATTATTAGATTTCTTGCAGAATCATGGTGTGGAAATTCCTTCCTATCTTTCTATAACTGTCAATAATGGGAAAGGAAAATGGTTCCTTGCTGAGAACATTTTATGCAATAGGGTGGTCTTAAGGGCATGCACAAAATAAATAAAGTTTTGTTCTGAGCTTGGAACAAAACAGCACCATTTGAAATACCCCATTGGAATTTTTGAGTGAGTTGTATTGTGACATAACATTTGAAACCTGTTCAATTTTCTGCCGTAGTGTTTCCTATGGCAGAATTTGAAACAAGCCCCTTCTTGCCTTGTGTTTCCTCCTGTGACTGGAGGTGTTCTTCCACTGCTCTGACAGACAGGACAAAACCATTTCTGTCATGGCTCGTAGGTAGCTGTAAAGAGCACTTCCCTACCTGTGTCAGTTAAGAAACTGACAAATATTAGAAAAGGCTCCCTAGTTCAAAATAAAAGACAAATGTAAGGCAGCAAAAAAAAAAAAAAAGCTATCTTCGTGGGGAATCAACTCTAGATGCCTTCATCCATAGGTACAAAACAGCCATTTCATGGTAAATCTGGTGTCCTGTTTTCCTCCTGCATCTGGAGCATATCCTCATCTAGGATCTACTGGGGGAGCTCCTCAATTTGGGGAGCTACTTTGCTGAGCAAACTAAGGAACAAAGCACCACTTGCTGCAGCATTTGTCTGCTGAAGGAAGTTTCAGCCAAGATCTGTGCCTTAAGCTTGTAATCATTCACAAAGACTAGGTTGCTACCTTTCATGTATCACTTAGTGGAGAGGTTTGCCAAGGTGACCATACTCGTAGCAGAATGGTAAATACTTGCTAAAATAGTAGCAGACTGGCTTCAAAGCAAAGTAACAGACCGGGTTTTCTATGATAAACGTGGGCTGCTGTTCTTATTCTTTGTACTTTGTGTATTTTGATAATAACTTATGTTTATATTGTCCTGTATTGATTTAGATCAGTGGTTGTTGGGATTTATATGGGGATTTTATTTCATGATTACAAGTAGTCCTTGCTTAATGACTGTTTGTTTGGCGATCATTCAAAGTTACAACCGCTAAAAAGTGACTTATGACCAGTGCTTGAAGTTTTGACCATCACAGCGCTCCCACAGTCACATGATCACAATCCAGGTGCTTGGCAACCAGCTGACATAAGACAGTAGCAGCATCCCAGGGTCACATGATCACCATTTGTGACCTTCCCAGCTGGCTTCCAGCAAGCAAAATCAATGGGGAACCGGGTGATTCATTTAACGACTGCAGTGATTCAGTTAACAACCACATGATTCACTTAGCAACTGTCACAAAAAGTCATAAAATTGGATTCGGCCACATGGTGATTCACTTAATTACAGCACTGCTTAGCAACCTAAAGTTTGGTCCCAGTTGTGGTCGTTAAGCAAGGGCTACCTGTATTCTAAACTGTCCAGAGTCTTGGGAACTGGGCAGTTCTTTAAGTTTGCTTTTTACAATTTACAGTCCCAGCTTTAGCTAATCACTGTCACTAGAAAGCAGAAGATGATTTTTGATTTTTGAGTAATGATGTTATTTAAATTCTAGCCACAAAACAAGTCACTGTGCCCCCAGTGCCAATAAAGGCAGCTCATGGCAGTTCTGAGAGCAGCAGTGATGACACCAGTGACTCCACAGACTCTGAGCAAGAAGAGAAGAAACCAGCAAAGGTTTGTGTTTTTTTTTTTTATTTTCTCAAGATCTGTTCCACAGAGAAAACCTGTGGAGTTTGTTTATAGGATCAGTGACCACATTTAAAAAATGATACAAAAGAAATAAAATAAATTAAAAACACAGAATCAAATAAGTTGTATGCATAAATCCAGACAATGAAATCATAAAAGTAATAAGTAACTGCTGTTTGGTCCAGTCTCTGTACTTTAAAAAAAGTGGGTGCCGTAAAATACATCACCAATCCTGATACAGAAGGCAGTGCAACTAGACATGAGCTATTGCTTCAATGGTTGCAACTGAGCATGTGCAGTGGTGATTTAGATGGGCTTTATTAAGCCTCCCTCCACCAGGTTCAAGGGTCAGACATTGTACTGTAGTAGAAGTTTCATTTCACTGGATGTAACATATGTGCCTAGTGAGGTCAGTGAGGTTGTTGAATGTAACTGTGAGGAAATGGGGCATTTTTTTTCCATTGTAAAAACAATGGAGTTTTGAAAGAACAAAGAGGCAGTATTTCTTTCTAAAGAGTTACTACCTTTGGTTTTCCCAGAGTTCTGCTTGTTTCTCAGGATCTTTTCCCAGCTTATTATCATTCCTTGGCCTTCCAAATGTTGTTATGGCTGAACTGATAGTTTTGGTTTTCCTGGGAAAGTGTTTTTGTAATGGGGATAGCTGCCTAATTTAAATCCGTATAGCTGAGCCAGTGCTTTGTTTTCCCTGGGAAGATGTATTGGGGTAAAGGGCTTTTAACTTGGCCCCCCACATTCTCCTTCAGTACTTAGCTGATGTAAACTCCTTTCTGAATGAAGGAGAAAATATCTTTAAGAAGTAGTTTGGAATAATGAGGGGAAAGTGATAAAAGGTCCCTGAAACATAGTTTGTAACTTTAGATCTGTCTGCTTGTACGTCAAAGTCAAGACCATGTTGTTTGGCCTCAGTGATAGTGTTCCCCAGACTCGTAATTATTAGTGCTTGAATTGAGAGAGAAAAGTCAATGGCTATGTTTTTTTTTTTCATGAGGAATTAAATCCATCTGTAAGAATAAATGGGGCTAATGAATTACTTCCATAGTTTAATTTCAGTAATATCTGAAGTGGCATGTTCTTATCTGTGTGCCTATTGAAGGAGCTCCTAATCCAAGTCTCAGTAGAGAATTAGAGATAAATCAAGCTACGTAGAGGATGATTTTGGTAAAATTGGAGTGCACTGTTTCTAAAGGCTTTGTGTTTTTATAAGGATAGAGTTGTGTGCTGCACAGCAGAAGTAGAAATATCTTGGCTTTGAACAGTTTAATTGCAGAAGAAAAAAAGTGTTACCTTTGTGATTTACATATCAAATTATCTCATTTGTGGCCCTCAAATGAGAGGAATTTGTGCGTGGTTGATTCCCAGCGGGAGGTGATATATTTAAAGCACTTGGTTAATTGTATGTTTTCTTGATGATAGAATCTAGCTAATGCTTGATGATAGAATCTAGCTAATGCTTGTAGGCTTCTTCAGACCTGGGACAAGGAAAGAATAGCAACATCATCACTGTATAATAGAATGGGGATGGATTTGTGTGTTAATGCTGAGAAATGAATATTGTTAGAGTTTGAAAATGACAAAATGTAGCGAAAATATTTCTTGAAATATTTCTTTTCAGCTGGTTCAACGTATGTTTTATTCTGATTCTTAATTATTTTTGAAAGTTGCTCTTAGGATACGAAATAATGTGAAACCAAGGAAGTTGGAGTACCCCTCAGTATTTGTTATATTTATACTCAGATACTTAGAGAGAGTTAGTGTTGCTCACCCAAATTTTACAGTGAATAAATTTGAACCAATAGTAAGATTCATCAGATGGCAATTACATTCTGTTATCTAAACATATGTTTAAGAAATGTTCTGTTGTAGATCATCATTTATGTTGCAAATGTGCAAGAAAAACATGGATTTCTTGACACTTTAAGATTATTGTGATAAACTGATATCTGAGGCTAGAGAGAATAATATTTAGGAATAGTTAGTGCCTCCCTCTCTCAGTGACACAGCTTTCCTAAAATAATAGGTGCTGAGTAAGAAGAACAATAGTTCTGAACAAGCTGCCCCCCAGGATCTGCTGTTGAAGCCAAGATCCATCCTAATTATATTGATTGACACTGATACTGACCTATCTTGATAGAAGGGAATAGTTCTCCAAGGGAAGAAATCAACTATCCAAAAAACAAGGCCCCAGAAGACATCTAGGAGTTCAAGTTCAGATTCAAGCAACTCAGAAGATGAAACTCCAAAGGACCAAACACCAAAGTCAGAAGGAGCCCCAAAAGTCACAAAACTGGCTTCTACATCAGGTAACGGCATGAGTCAGTGTTGGAGTAGAAGCTCAAGCTATGAGTTTGTGAGTAATTCAAGTGGTATATGAAAGGAGCAAAGGAGACGTGGATGTATTTTGATGGAGATTTTTTTGTTTCCATTTTACATGTTTTATTAAAAAAATTTAGTCATGTTCTTTATGGAGGAAATCTTATGGGTGACAGAGAACTAGGAGAATATAAATTGCCTAAGATTTAAGATTGCTGCAAATGTACAGCAATGCACTTGGGTTGAAAATGGAATAATTAAAATATAAATTTGGAAGGGACCATTTTTTGGGGGGTTTGTTCTCTCTCAGGCTATCAAGTTTAAACCCTGCTCAATATGTGAGCTGTATGTGAATCCATGTAATATACAAGAGCAAAACTTTACTGTTGCTTATTCCTTGTGCTTAACAGGTTGAATTAGTGTTTTACAATGCTAATGATTCATATTTTTAACTATAGAGAGTTTACTAATAGGTTTCCTTTGAACTTCGGTTGGTTTCACATGTTGCCAAGTAAGCTTGGATGCTGTTTCTGGAGATCTGGTTAATCATAATTTAGGCTTCAGCATTTCTGTTCTTCAAAATTATCAAGAAAGTGATTCAGCCTATCTTACGGTTTGGGCAGTTATGTGGACCAAGGAACACTGAAAAGAGTAGTAAAAGGACACATATTTGTTACTAAGATTGAAAGACCTTGATTCAAGCTACATCGTTCTAAACAAAAACAGTAAACAATAGGATTGCCCTTAGGTGGGTCAAGGTTGCATTGAGATAGAGAGCAAAAGCCATGTATGGCTACTGGCTATTTTGATCTTTCTCTAACAAAAGAGAAGAAAACATAGGGAGAAAGGAGGTTTTGGAATTATTCAAAAACAAAAGTTTGGTCATGAATTTGATCAATGTAGGCAGATATGGAAGATTTTCTAGGTTAGGTCTTTTCACATTCCAGCACTCTAGAAATGCTAGTTTCAAAAGATTCATCCTTGCAAGTATTTCTCAGTAGAATCTGACTCTATTAGATATGTGGGACCTGACTCTTTGGGAGTTTCAATTTAAGGGAAACTTAAGGGAGGAATACATTTTTTAGTACAGCCATGCATAAAGTCTTCTAGATCACTACAGTGAGAATCTCCTTTGTTCCTTAGGACATCTTCTAGCTCTTGCATTGCTGAATCCAGGGTAGTAGAATTCAGAACAAAAACGGAGTCTTGCAAAAGAGTCCTAAGCCACAGTCACTTAAGATTGGTCAAGAAGAAGTAGCCATATGGGCCTACAAAAAACAGCAAATCCAAGCTGCTCTGCAGTGCCCATCTACTGTAGCAAAAGCATGCTCAGTGCTTCCAGCATTGTTTAGGGTGCTGCCTGGGTTCAGATTGCATTAAACTATGGTTTAATGATTTGATAGGCTCAAACATACATTACACTCTAAATCATGGTTTTCAATCCACAAAATTTGGATTTGCATAGTTTGATAGAGAATCAGACAAAATCTAATGTAATATATGAACTAGGCTTCTATCATCTCAAAGACTTCACTGCTGCTGAAGAACTTGGGGACTAGCCAAATACTTCAGAAGCAGCACACAGATTTTTAGTGTTCTGTAGTTCTGATGTAGAAAGACTCTGTAAGTAGACCTTTGGTGCAGGATCTTTTCACTGCTGCCCCAGAAAATGTTATTAGAGGGTATGGAGAGAATAATGATGGAAGATAGTAGGGCTGTACACATAATGGGATATATGTTTAGTTTCAAACCTGAAGTGAATCATCATGTTCTGGTAGTTTTGTCAAGCTGTTTCAGATTGACCACAGTAGGAAAAAGCTCAGAACATTTTTGTTGTTTTGTGTTTTGGCTGAAACAAAATCCAGAGGTATCCTGGAGTACTTTTTATGGATGAGTAGGGTGAGGCTGGTGTGCATTACCCCCTCTCTCCCCACTTCCTCTACATTACTGTTATGCTCTTTTCTGTGTTCTTAGCTGGCAAAATGCACCTCTTGGTTGGTATGTAACACACAATTCCACACCTGACCAAATAAGAACAGTAGGGCTGTTGTGTGTCATAGATGGTTGCACTTCTTTCCAAACTATTTGCTAATAAAAGGATTCCCCATCCTTCAAGAATGGGGAGGAGAGAAAAAATCTGCTTTGTGAGTAGTTTTCTGCTCATAAAAAAATCAAATTCATCTTTAGTTGGTACATTTCAAACTCAGGGTAGCATATCTCAAGTGTTGCTGCAGCACTGAAGGAAATGCTGAACTGGACATGAAGCCAGATAAAAAGCAGAGTTTTCAGATTTGGCTTTGTGCTGATCAGCATGCCTCTTGATACCAGAGTAAGACTATTACACTTACTTTATCCTCAAGCATATTCTTCCTTCAGTGCTGAAGTAAAGAGTTGTTGAAATTGGACTAACAGCTGTAAGATTGCAGACTTTAATGGATATTACCTTCTTTTTTCCCCAGGGGAAGAGAGATGTATCTTTACAAAGATATATTTGTAAAGGAAAGGGGGAACTGTTAAAACTATACCGTATATGTAAAGTTACATGTTCTAATTATCGGATGTTTCAATTTAATGGAAACATTTTATTCACAATTAGCAGCAAAACATACTAAGATGATGTCCAAAACTTCCAATGGCAAAGCAGAGGGTAGTAGCAGCAGTGATGAGACGGGTAGTAGCGAGGATTCCAGCTCTGAAGAGGATCAACCTGTCAAAGTAAGCTATGAGTCCTTGGTATGACAGCTAAATATCCATTATTTATTTTTGGTGGAGATGATTATGTTGATTTTACAGGCCTATAGAAAACTAAATTTCTGTTTTCACTTTGTCATTATGGGGTACTGAGTGTAGATTAATGAGAAAAAAAATGAA